AATTGGAGTAATTTTAGAAAAACTCTAGTAATTCACAAATAATTCTATTACGACCAAACATTATAGAGATAATTTTAATAAGTAATTCCAAATTCTTAAAATTTCGACTAAGTGACCAAATTGTGCAATTTTTTAAATCATAAACTGTAACATCTTGTATTTTTTGTTTTGTTGTATTCTAATATTAATTTTAATATACATAAGAGCCACTTTTTGTTTTTAAATTTTCATTGCAATGTTGCCAAATTGTTAATATTTTATTGGAAAATTTATGGTTTGACTTAAATTCTTTTAGGAACGTTGTTATTAACATCAGAAAAGCAAAATTTTGTACAGTGGCAAAGAAGACTTTGATTTATAATTTGCTGTAATTTTATTTGTTTTTAATATACAAGGTGCCCATCATAATAAAATTCCAGTAATTCACAAATAATTTCAATAATTCTCAAAAAAAATCCAACGAAATTCTAACAATTTATCGTAACTGCATTGCTTTTAGATTAATTCTTATAGTTTCAAATTAATTCACGTAATTCCAACTTAATTACAAAAAAAATCCAGTAATTTGCAAATAATTTCAGTGATTCCAAAAAAAAATTCAGGAAAATTCCAGTAATCCATCGTAATTGCATTATTTTCAAATTAATTCCTATAATTCTAACTATATTTCCGTAATTCAAACTTAATTTTCGTAATTCCAAAATAATTCCAATTTGTAGTAATAAAAAATTCAAGGTAATATTTTCTTTGAAAATATTATCTCTGATAATTATAATGCAAAAGTGCCACTTTTTGTTGCTAAATTTTTATTGCGGTGTTGCCAAATTGTTGATATTTTATTGAAAAATTTAGAAAATATATGGTTTGACTTAAATTCTTTTAACAACGTTGTTATTAATATCAGGAAAGTAAAATTTTGGACATCGGCAAAAAAGACTTTGATCTATCATTTGGTGTTATTTTATTTGTTTTTGTTATACAAGGTACTCATCAGAATAAAATTCCAGTAATTCAGAAATAATTTCAGTAATTCTCAAAAAAAATCTAACGAAATTCTAACAATTCATCGTAATTATATTCTTTTTAGATTAATTCTTATAGTTTCAAATTAATTCAAGTAATTTCAACTTTATTTGAAAAAAAATCAGTAATTCACAAATAATTTCAGTGATTCCGAAAAAAAAATCACGGAGATTCCAGTAATCCATCGTAATTGCATTATTTTCGAATTAATTACTATATTTCCAAATTAATTCCCATAATTCTAACTAAATTTCCGTAATTCAAACTTAATTTTCGTAATTCCAAAA